AGATCCCCTTTGTCCATTCCTAAATGGATTAGCTCTCTCATTTGCTATTTTATTTTGCTCTGGAAAACGAAGTGTAGGACATTGGTTACTATTAAGCTTAAGTCCATATTTGGATTTTACTGGTCACTTATTCATCTGAAATGGAGATGGCAATATCTTTTTTTTTTTTTTTTTTTTTCCACAAATAGGACTTTATTTATCACTGTTAAAAATCTGGATCTTAAACAGACTCTTGCACTGGTGGTTCATATCCATCAGCTCATTCAACTTTAGCTCCAGTCGCTTTTCCAGAGATGTTACCTTCACTGTGAAGCTCCATGAGTTTTCCCAGTTCAAACTAGGGCTTCTTCAGCATTTTTACTTTTCTGAGGAAGACATCAGGAAGAGGGTAGATTGGCAAGCCTTTTCTATGTCTTTCCCAATACTGTCTGGAATCAGTTTATTGACCACTTCCTTCAAGTCATTTGTCTGCACCTCCCGGGTCATGATTTCTATCATCATCTTCTGGATCTGGCGGACCTGTTGGTGCTGAGCATAAGAGGTCTTCCATATCTGATTGTTGCGTTTTTTAGTAAAACCAACACAGAACAGTCGAAGCAAATAACCATCGGTAGTCTTGACATCAACATGAGCTTCAATCATGGTCTGCCATTTTTTGACCATGGAACACATTTTGTCCCGGGTGAGGTCCATGCCATGGAAGTTAATCAGGCAGGTTTTTTTTTTTTTTAAAATTATTTATTTATTTATTTACTGTGTGTGTGGCCAGCTCAGCCCACCAGGGGGCGGGGCTGGCTGGCATGTGGTACTGGGGGATTGAACCGCGGTCCCTGTGCTCTGCTAAGCTTGTTCTAAGTAGGTGCTTTAGACCACTGAGCCATCTCACCAGCCCAATCAGGCAGTTTTTGCTCTGAACATCTTCAGTAATTAGCTTGAATTTTCTAAAGGCAACTTCCTCATTCTGCAGATCAGCAAGGCTCACTTCAAACACATGACCTTTGAGCCCATCAGATGCAATTTTGGTTCCTTGGGTTCTGGTGAAAAGTATTTTCCCAATATTTCTTATGTTGAACATAGCCGGCGCCTTCACATCATACCAGTCTTTTTTAGAAAATGGATCAACCACTTTCTTCTTGGCTCCTTTTTTGCCGCCTTTTGTAAGGCGTTTGTTCTTGCCTACCGCCATGGTACTGCTCAGAGAGCCAAAAGGGCCATATCTGTTTTATAGAATTGCTGTGAAAATAGTGACATCACACATAGGGCATCATTTTGAAATTTGTCAGGCTCCTTTTTTTCTTTTTTTTTTTTTTTTTTTTTTTTTAGGGAAGGGTCTACAAGCTGTTCAGGGTCTCACTACTAGATCGGACTTGTAGTGATACTCCTGTTTACAGCCTCTCAAGTGTTGGGATTACAGGCATGCGTCACCATGCCCAGTCTCAATTGCCAGCTCAGCATGCCTCAGGGGCCGGCCCAGGGATCAAACCCCCTGGCCCCTGTGCCTGCTTCCAGGTACTTTAATCTGCTAAGCTATTTGGCCGCCCTTCTTTTTATTTCAGTGAAATCAGTTGCAAGTTTTCACTGTTTCAGCTTATTGTGTGTCATTAAATTGCCTTGATTTTAACTGTTAGGTGCTGACCTAATAACATAATTCTAGGAATTGCCCAAGAGAATTGTTTAAAACTAAAAACTTATATTACACTGAAATGTTGTAGACTGTAATATAGCATGCATTAGGAAAAATTGAATTTCTTAAGGTCATAGAGAAAATGAATTTTAATTCTTATCATGAACCAACTTGTTGGCTGTGTAGCATTTTATTTTGTTTTGTTTTGTGGGTTTTTTTTTTTGTTTGTTTGTTTTTTTAGATAAGATCTCACTATGTTGTCCAGGCTGGCTTTGAACTCACTGTGTAGCCCAGCCTGACCTCAAACTTCTAGAAATCTTCTGACTCAGCCTCCCAAGGGGTAGGATTGCAGGCATGCACCTCTAGGCCCAACTATAGCTTTTATTTTTACTTGATCCTGAACTTTCGTTTATTGGTGTTTTGGTTTGGTTTGGCTTGGTTTTTGGCAGTTCTGGAAATTGAATCGAGAATTTTGTGAATGATCTATATGCCCGACCCCTTTTTTAATATTTTGAGCAAGGATCTCACCATGTTGCTAAATTACTTAGTCTGGACTCCAATGTATGATTCTCCTGCCTCAGCCTCCCAGATGCTGACATTACAAGTGTGCATCACCATGTCTAGTTGATCCTAATCTATTAATTACTTTTTTTGGGCGGGGTGGAATTGGGGATTGAACTCAGGCCCTTGTGCTTGCCAGGGAAGCGCTTATTCTATTGAGCCATCTCCCTAGGCCCTCTATTAATTACTTGATTTTACATCTTTTACAGGCTATGGGGTAGCATAAAATTTGCTTTTAGGAGTTAGTTGCACAGACAATTGCCTTTAGATGATACTTCGTGTACTCTGGCTATTGAAAAGCGTGGAATTGCTTTTGTGTAAGGTTTTTGTAATGTATGTCATACAATGAAAGGTGCTGAGGATGCAGTGAGTTAGTGAATATTTAAGAGCTTTCTGTGTGCCAGACAGTATGGTAGGTATAGAGAATATAGCTGTGAAAGAGATGTGTGTTGTCTCACCATCTAGGAGGGCTGACCTTCATCAATCATTAGAGTATTTAAGACAATATAAAGGGAAAGGAGTATTCTACATCATCTGAAGTAATAAGCTAAGGACATGAGTTCAATCCCCAGTTGCACAAAAAAAAAACAAAAAATCCCGCTAAGGCCATAAGTGAGATCTTTCTAGACAGAAAAGGCTAATATGGTGGATTCCAGGCACAAAAAGTTTGATGTTGACCATAAAAACACAGAGGAGAGAGACTTAGAGAAAAACTGTCAGCAGAGATGACAACAGAGGCTGTATCTTCATAAGTCTTTTAGGTCTCATTAGGTTATTTTTCAGTCTTGGACTTTTATGTTGATAACAAAAGAGTATTTTTTTTTTTTTTAGCAAAGAATAACAAGCATCACTCATGGAAAATGACAACATTCTTGAGTTAGCGCATTCTTAGCAAGGAGATCTTTTTTTTTTTTTTTTCAGAACCGGGGATTGAACTCAGGCCCTTGCGCTTGCCAGGGAAGCGCTTATTCCACTGAGCCATCTTCCTGGCCCCAGAGTTAGCGCATTCTTGTAGTTACAATGGGCATTACCGGAAACTTGGACTAGGAGATAATATTGAGGATAGAAAAAAGAACCAATTTGAGAGATGATATAGGAAGGAATGCTAGCAATAGTTACTGCTTCAATGTTGGTAGATGACTAGAAAGCAGAGTTCAAGATGACTCTTAGGTTTCTACTTTGAGGCATTGTTTTGGTGGGATGGAAATCCTACTTTTTGAGTTAGGGAGGTGTGGAGAAAGACCAGATTGTGAGGATATGATAATTTGAGGTACTGTCTTTTTTTCTGTTTATATCTGTTTGAATTCTTGTCAGACTTTTTAAAGATAAAACTGGGAGAGCCTCGTATACTTTACGTGGGCCTTTATTCATTTGTATTTTGCCATTTTTTTCTCTACCTGAACACGTCAGGGAGTAACTGGCTTACTGTGCTGTGAAGTAGATGAGAGATTCAAAGGCAAATAGAGCCCTAAGATTTGGGATGGTAAGGTTGAGACTGTTTTCATAAGGAAGTGGAAATGAGTTTTAAAAGACAGTATTCAAGAGTATCAGTTCTTCATTTTCATGGCCATTAATATACTAATATTTAAAAAGACTCATGAAATTAGTCCTCTGTTAGGTTTTGGTATCAATAATGTCTAGGCCAGTAATTTTAGAATTGTAGTTACTCAGCCAGCAGCAACACTGTCACCTTGTGATTTACAGTGGTGCCTTGGTTTACATATTTGAGTCCTTTCACAGTTCTGGTTTTAAATTGAATTGTTTACTGAATGAATCAAATTCAGTGGCTAGATTCAATGTTGACCTTAGGGGGAAATTTGATTAGTTCATGGAAAGTTCATTTGGTTTTGTTTGAAAGAAAAATTGCAGAGTACAATCATGGAAAGAATGCCGTTTGTCTGCTTGAAATCCAGATATTCTCTCCTACTCAGAAACTAAAATGGGGCTTAGTAATCCCATCACATGATTATGGTATACCTTAAAGCCTGAGTATTCCTGGTCCAAGTTCAGGAAGTTTTCTGCAAAAGGCCAATTATCGATAAAATATTTGAGTCTTTGTAGAACATAGGTATTTGCAGTAATTGCTCAGTTCTGCTCTGTATCAAAAAGCAGCCATAGTCCTGTAAACAGATTGGCTTGACTGGCCCAGTAAATCTTTATCTACAAGCAGACAGCAGGTATATTTGGCTCATGATCTGTAGTTGATAGATTCTGGTGTGTACAGTATGATAGTTGTCAAGATAAAGGATAGCAGTAATGAAAGTAAAGGAATTGGAGGACAATCTAAGTAGTTTCAGTAGTACCAGTTTACTTTTAAACCTTTATTTTTGTTTTTCTTTTGTCATCTTGTTTTCCTCTTTGTTTTAGTATAAAACAGATTCTTAGGTTTTTGAAAATAGCAGTTAATTAGAATTCTCACCGTGACTAACTCTACATGTTGATATCTGTGAACTAAGCAACTACACTGAGGATAGAAATGTATAATATAAAACCGGGCTTGAAATACCTGTCATTTTGATCTTCTAAATGAGTACTACTTCTGATATATCAATTATTGCTATATTCTTTAAAGTATATGTTTAAAAAGGTAATGAAAGAAAATTAGAGATAAAAAAAAAAGTCATAGAATTGTCCTGCTTTTAAAAAAAAAAAAAATCCAAACATCACAAAAAAATCAGAACAGAAGATAAACTCCTGGAAAAAATTATTGTGACCGCTATATCATTAGTACTGTTTTCATTGTCAATTTTTAAACAAGTCCATGTATAGTGTGTTTTTCTTAAATATTAATTCAGTTTTCTTTCATTTCTTGAAGGTTGTTTTGGAAACCGAAATAACAAATAAGTCTGCTTTGAAACTTTATGAAAATCTTGGTTTTGTTCGAGATAAGAGGCTGTTCAGATACTATTTAAATGGAGTTGATGCACTGCGACTTAAACTGTGGCTGCGTTGAGAAACTGACATCGAGGAACAACTTCCAACCACACAGAGTCGACCTTTGCATGCAATGCAATTTGTACAGAATTGCTTTGCAGGTGGATTTAGTAATTCCCATGCAGTTCTTATCTGTCAGTGTCTCATTGAGTGTCGCACAATATTTGTTGCACTTTGGCATGGCGCATTTGTTCTGAATTAAAAGAGATTGTTTTAAACTTCAGGAGTTCTTTTGGTACCAACAAAATGTGCCAGTTGATAGCCAAGATTTGTTCATTTGCAGTCTGCTGACAATGTTATTTACATAGTGACCATTTTATCACAGAACCAGTAAGTGGAACATAATTTGTTCCTTGAAAAGCCAATGTAGAATGTACCAGTCTCTGAGTGTACTAACATTTTACACAAAACCTGCCATAGTTTTCTGAAGGGGATGAGGGAAAAGTTTCAATTTTAGGTTTTACTTTTTTCAATATTAAATTTTCCTTTCTTGAATATTGGTACCTCAGTGATTAGTGAATGAAAAAAATGTAGGGTGGGCTATGTCTTACAGTGAGTAAAGATGATTAAATTGCGTCTGCCAGTGCCTGTGTAGCTGAGTATATTTGTCTTCATCTCTAGTTTTTCAGTGCATGCTGTCCTTTTCTTTTCTTTATGGCCTTAGCAAGCAGACTTGTTTTTATTTAAATTCTAAATTTGACAATAAATTATTTCAGATTTTTATAATTTGGATACATTTTCAAGGTGACAGATTCACCTGAAAAATCCCTTCTTCAGTAAGAAATTGAATCTTGGAAAACCTTTGAGAAATGGCACAAGAGAGATAAGGAAAGTTAATGGAGCAAGAATTTCTGGGTTTTGGGTGCACTTTTTTTGAGGGAACTTGTGGAAAAGAATAGAAAATTAAATTGATATGATTTTTTATTTAATCAAAATTACTGCAACAGCTTTTAAAAAGTAGCTAGAAATATTTTCCCCACTTGATTTGGATTCACATTGCTTCTATTTCTTAAAATGCTTCACTTTGGTTCATGGTCTTCAAAATAAATTTCAAGGTGCATTATATCCTCTTAAGCTGCTTTTATTTTCTTTTCACTAGTCTGACTAGATTCTTGGGAAGAGCTTTGCCTTGTTCCTCCAGAAAAACAAGGGATAAAGGAAAATCTTTTTTTAATGAGTTCCTTGGGTTTTCACCCACCATATTTATGTTGTGTTTTAATGATTAATTGGTACACTAACAAATTTTGAAGAGCAGACCTATGGTGGATAACTTATTTAACTGGAAAACCCGAGTACTTTATAAGAAAAGATTTATTCTCTGTAAAAAAAAAAATGTTTTGTAGAATCTGTGTTGTTGCTGTTTTCATTTGAATATGCTGTTTTCATTTGAATATGCTTTACATCTCCTCTAGGATTTGGTTTGAATTTTTGTGGCTATAATTACTGTATTTTTAAAAAACCCTACCTCCATTAACAGTTAGTAAAGGCCCCTTTTCAGGAAAGTTTGCATTTTTTTTTTTTTTTTTAAAGGAAAGCTGCTCTTTGCTCAGTATAGTGTTTTGAAAGTGAACATGCTAATTACTTTTAAAATAAAGATACACAGTTTATATTTGATGAAAATAAAACCTTCCTACTGTAGTGGGATCATTTATAATTTATTTTAAAGAAAACTTTTTCTTTCCATTTTATATTGCTCTTTAAAATTTAATGGGAAGAATACTGGGTTATTAAAAATGTGACTACACCATACTCAGCTTTTCAGCTGACTGTTCTGTGTCTGTTTTTAATCAGACTTCACTGAGCTCTACCATTTAGAAGAATACCAGTTATAGTAATGCTTCTGTTATTATTTTTAATATGAAGGAAATAAACTAAAACAGTATTATGTCATCAAATTTACTTCACCCCTTTCTATTTGACTTGCTGGTTGATACGTAGTGATGCTAAATATACATTTGCTTGACTGGGAAATGGGGACAGTTATGGATACTTGTTAGATTATCAGTTCAGATCATCTTTGTGTCAGACTGTTAAACTATCATTACTGATCCTTAGCCCCGGAATTGCTGGATCAGCTGTTACCTGAGCATTTGTAAACATGACCTTAATTGTGTCACTAGAAATGCAATGGTTGCTATGTTGTTCTGTTGGTGTATGTTGAGTATCAATGTATACCTTATGCCTTTAATTGGATGTGCAAAAATTATTCACTTAAAATTTTAACCACTAGCATGATATTCCAGCACCAAAATTAAATCCATTCAAGTTGAAATGTATCAAACATTACTTTTAAGATTTTGCTTTTCTTACTATCAGCTTAAAATAATTTCATTTATAGTTGATAGTGTGTAGTGTGTGTTCACTTGGCTGAAACTGAGTAAAATTGGTGAAACTTTCTTCTAATAGGGTGCTGCCTCTTTAAGACTGACTGTACTGTCCACTGACACTGGTTTGGCACATGGTACTGCTGAAACTTTCTACACATGCTACCATGAACCTATATATGTTAGTATTGAAGAAGCTTAACGGGTATACTACCATTTTTGATGTGTGGGCTGACTATAATTTTCCTTATATTGGAATGAAACTACTTACTCTAGAGAAGTTCACAGATCAGAAACCAGACATTAGTTTTTTAAGTCAAAGCCAGCAAAATAAAAAGAAATTACTATTAAAAATTGCTTTCAATATATTCTGCCTTCTCTTCTCCAAATTACTTTCCCCATTTGCTTGACAAATCTGTATAAAAGGAGTTTGTCACATTTTAACTTAACTCCTGCCCTGTGTTACAGTATCAGCTGACATGTGTAAGACTGGATGTGTATATTTATTATGGTGTCTAAAAATCTTGAAATTCATCACTTTCCAGGAGCACAGAGAATGTCAAATTGGTAATGCATCAGAATGAGTTTTTACTGCACAGTGACGTCTCTAATGTTACAGGGCTTTCAGGTTTGTAAAAACATAAATTATACTGGCATCAAATATGAGTTGAGTATCTATAAAATATCACGTGTCTCAAAGTATTGGACTGCTGTTTGATGACTGGATATTATTGCATAATTTTCTCTTCTGTCCTATATCCTTTTGGAGAGAGGTTTAGTGGGGGTTCGAAATGTGCAAGCTGTCTAAGTTACAGTCAAATAAAGTATGGTTACGTGGTGTTTGCATTGTTTTTGAGATATGCTGTGTGCATTTCAATTGGATTGTTTTGCTTTTTACCTACTTAGAAAAACAAGCAATCTATTCTGTTCCTCAGGGGTTACCTCCTACCCGAGAGGTGGCTGAAGAAGTGATAAAGTTAGTCTCCTTTTTGTTCTGACAAACCCGATTTTAAGTAATCAGTCACCTTTTTATCAGCTAGCTATCAATACAAAGGTGAGCATTTTTGCATGCTTAGACCAAAAGTTTTTTGTTTCTTTGTCCCATAGCATTTTTTTTTTTTCCAGAACTGGGGGTTGAACTCAGGCCTCACAGCATTTTATTTCTAAGGGTTTTTTTGTTTTAACTATTTTTTGTTGATATGGTGCCTGTGTAAGTGAGTTTTATTTTTTTCCTTTGCTTTGACACTAAGAAGGGTATCTAAAGGTCTGTTTGCCTCATTTTTGTGAGGCATTTAAGTAATTATGCATGCTTTTATATTTCAAGACTTTGAAAGGTTAGTGCAAGGATGAGAGGGTCCGTTTTAGTCATATGGTTGCTAAATTACTTGTATCACACATACCAAATACTCACTTTGCTTTTCATAGTAATGTAAAACTTCCTTAATTCAGTTCATGTTTTATTTGGGTCTTAGGTACGATTATGTGAAAGTGTTCCTAAATTCAGTCTACATAACTGCCAGAAAGTTAATAAATAATACTAGTTTGCTTGCGCTCAAGTTAGTATGGTCTCTTAACCCATAGCCTAGAGGTGTAGTGATGGCCTTTTTATAAACTCTGTGAAATAAGAGTTTTTAGAAATATTTCATGGTAATACAGCACAGGTGCACTTTTTATGACAGTGGATAAACTTTGCAGTGTTACTACTAGTCATATAGTTCCTGAACCTTTGAAGTGTGATTAGTATGGTTAAGGGACTAAATTTTTAGTTTAACTAAAGTTAGTTACATGTGGCCAGTGGACAACATAACTTTATAAGTAGTAATAACAGGAAAGTATATTTTATATAGGCTGTATTAAAGACACCAGTTTACTACAATATGAAAGGTATCACAAAAACTAATCAAGAGTCTAGCTGAACTAGTAATATTATTGATACAGTGTCCAGCATCTGTCTACCCCTAGCAGACTACCCTATTGTGAAGTAACTGCCAGGGAAAAGCCCTTGTGGTTTTACTGTTGGAAGATCTCTGGTCTGCAATGAAGCGCACATTCAAATGTTACTCTAAATTTAAAAGGCATTGCATAGGCATCCTTCATTTTTCTCATTTTAAGTGAATTGGAGGGCCTTTGACTTTGAATGAAATTGGCCTCTTTACCTGGAACAGCGGTTTCTTGTATTTATACTCATACCTTTTTTTCCCTTTTAAATTCTGGAAGATTAAAAAAAATTCTGGAAGATTACTCATGCTGATGAAGCCAAAGGCAAGTGTATTTGTGTTTGAGCAGATCAGATTGATTTTATTTTGTTTGGAGTCCAGGAAATATACCCTGGCTCTAGCCAGTCATCTGGTAAGTTGTAATTCATCAAAAGGGCTGGAATGGTACCATTAAGCACCTGGCCAGAAGGGTCCGTGGGTGCCTGGGGTGGCCTGGGAAGAGCTTAAAAACAACTCAGATGTCTCATCATCATAGAAAGGACTAGAAATAACAGGGATCTCTGCAGTGCCAAACTTATCTTCTACTACTTACGCAGTACAAAGGTTATAGTGAATAATTTTCAGTGTAATTATGTTTTATTATGCTAAGAAGCTTTTTTTGACTTCTTCATTCTATGAATATATTTTAATTTCTAAGACCTCAGTTTCTCTACAATCTATGTACAATTTATAAATAACCATATGCTAGGGGAAAGACAGGACTGTTAAATTGTATAAAGCCATTTATTGAATGGTTTTGTTATATCCTAAAAAACACTCCTAGCCTTTCTGATGCCCTTGATAAGAGGGTATTTAGTAAACATGCATTCATTTAGTGTGGGATTTGTATTCCAGGAAGTTCATACCATCATTTGTTCATTTACAGCTGTGATGTTTGTGTGTCTTAATGTTTACTTTTCATGCCAAAGAAACCCCTTTAAAAAGCCAGCAGGTTGCACAAATTGAAAAAATATTTATTTGGTTTTGCATCTTAAATAATCTTTGAGTTTTACTTGCTGGGATTTAAGCACTTTACAGAATTAAAGCCAGTAGTAATACTTTATAAAAAGTATATGTTTTAGGAATGCAGTAATTCCATTAAGGAAAGTATTGCCATTTTTAAACAGTTGTATTAAAATCCAGTGCTGTGTGAAGTGTCCCAAAGTTTATATGTAATTGCTAAAATGTGTTTGTGTTTATGATTCAGTGCCTTAATATGTAGAAGACTAAGCACTATTATCTTTTGGACCAGATAGCCAGTTGTACATGGTTATTGGTCTGTTTAGGGGGCCTGAACTTACTGCCTTAAAGCTAAACCTGCTGCCTTTAAACTTGGGTACCTTCCCACCCAAATTGTGGCTATAAGCTGTGACTGCACAGTCAACTAGTATTATACCTGATTTAATTGTGAATGCTAGTAAAATTTGTTAAGTCCACAAAATACTATTAAAATGCAAACTCAGATTTGTCTTTGACCAAGACTACTTGGTAACTTACAATTCAGAAGTGAAGTACATCTAATTGGTGTGAGGATTGTGTTTGAATTCCTATAGGATAATTCTTTGTTCACATTAGGTAGATAAATGAACATTTAATTTTTTTTGTCTTGATGATGCTAGGTGAGTTTCTTAATCTCCTGAGCTTTTAGTGATAATTATTTGTTGTAAAGTCAATTTTATGTGAGTACTTTAATGCTTAACCTAGTATGTTATAAATAAGAAATGGTGACTATTTACATATAATTAGTATAATTCTGTACTTTGCT